TTTACATGACTGTGACCTGAATTTGAAATGATATGGACTTGAGGGTGAAAGGAAATTTTTTTTTTTTTTTAAAGAGAAATGGAAAATGCTTAAGTACACATTCCCCGCCCTCCCCCGCAATAAGCATAGCAGACAGTGTCAAGTGTAAATAGGGATGATCCTATTTTACATGCAGATTAAGTGACAAAGTGTCTCCAGTGGAATCATTGGGTCATATGGTAGTTCTGTGTTTCATTTTTTTTGAGAAATAGCCATACTGTTTTCCACAGCAATCCTACTGTTCTCCGTTCTCACTAACGGGCTTTAGGGTTCCAGTTTCTCCTCATCCTGCTGTCGCTTGTTATTTTGTTTCTTTCAGCAATAGCCTTCCTAGTGGGTATGAAGTGGTGATTTACATCTTCTCTCGTGTGGCAGCCATGGCTGTGCCTACTTGATTGGTGTGTGATCTGTGTTGGTGGCATTCCCACGGAGCAATCCGAATCGATGAGCAAGAAACTTCTTAACGGCTGCTGATTCCTTTATGCACGGCATCAGTTCATCAGGCTCCTTTCTGAGTAAAGCTCTATGCATAAATGGAGTTTGGAAAGTGTCTCTGGGCTTACCATTTGCCCAAGATCTCTCTAGGAAACACTGCCCGCGTCAAGAGCCCCAGGTCGTCCATTTGCATGATGGTGGCATTTGGCACTGAAACAAAGCAGCCTCAGGCCGCCCAGGTGTGTCTGTCTAATGGGCCAAGCCTTATTAAATCAGCTCTTATCAAATTCATGGTGGAGGGGGAGTGGGTACAGTGTCAGAAGGGACCCTTGTTTCTCTCACACTATTTGGCTTTTGTCCTGCCTTTTTTGCTGAATTTCATTCTCTTTAAACTAATGAGCATGATTGAGAACTGCCAATCACATCAACAAGGCAGCATCACAGCACACCTATTTTTTTTTTTAATTTTTATGAATTTTTGAGACAAACATAGATGACTGTTATTCTGACTCTGAAACATACTTTTGCCAAATGACCAAAACTCTCCTTAATTTCCATTTAGTTTGCTTTCGTAAGTAAGATTAGTGTGTGATACAGATCAGTAGACTAAGCATTCTCAATTCTAAAACCAGATAACGTTAAGAAGCATTATTAGTCTCAGGCTTTGGTCTTTATTATTCCTGTCCTCCATGTCATTTTCTTAGTGTGATTTGTGCATTTTGCGTGTCATCCATCACTGTCGGGCAGCGTAAGCGTATCACATAGAGGATTAGAGGAAAGTATTTTGTGCTTAGAAAATAATTGAATGGCGATTTACTTTGTGGCTTTAAGCTCCAGGACAGTTTCCTATTTTAAAACCTCCTGTTCGCTTATACAAGCAGAGGGGCCCCAAAGCCTTTGAGCAGGAAGCTTCATCTCAGAGTCTTATTGGCCAGCCTATGCTTGTTTAAGCAAAGGCTTGTCAGAAGGCCAAGGGTCCAGCTCCAGGGCAAAGCATGGAGCAGGAGCACTCTGCTGATGTGTGTCTACACTTCTTCCAACTGAGTGGCTGCTGCCTTAACATTGCCTTCTTCTTAGCCAAGGTTAGGCAACTATTTATCGAAAGCGTACTCCATAACAGGTACCACCTTATCCACCTCCCTCCTCCCCAATTCTCCTCGCTCCACGCAACAGAGTGAGATGAAGACCTTTAGCATTCCAAAACAGAAAAGGATAAAAACAATAGCTCCTACTTTTCAGCCTGGACAAAGTCTGTGCTGTTTATCTCCAGGTTAACCCAATGTACTCTCTCGTTTTATTGAACATGTCTTGTCATCATTCAGCTACACTAGTGAGACTTCTCAAATGTTTGCATCATGTCGTCTTGCAAAACATCATTACCCAATTTAGTTTTAAGGAGCTTGACACTGAAGGTCAAGGCCAGCCATCAGTGATTTTTGGAATCTCTGGCTCGGGATGAGTTTTCTGGGACAGCCTTTCTCAGGCAGATGTCGGAGTCAGCCAGGGCTGAGCTGTCCTTCTCCATTCCCCTCCCTGAGGTAGGGGTGAGGGGAGCAGAGGGCTAACATAGTTTTCTGTCAATCAGCCACCCAGGCACGGACACATTCTATGTCTTCTTCCTTTGAAGATCATCCATCCTGAATCTTAAGTCTTTCAAGAGGCGTACAAGGTCTTTGTCCTTAAATAACTCATATATACAGATGGCTCTGTGGAAACACATGACCCTTCTCTCCACGTCCTGTGGGGTGACTCCAGGCACTTCTAGATCTGAGACTTTCATGTAAAGTAGGGGAGTGCTATGGCTGGGAGGAAGTATTTTGGGGTAGGTGGGGCCTTTTACTGCCTTGCAAATTATACTGGGCAGTTAGGGCCTGGTTCTTTGTAAGACAAAATTGGATGAGAGATTTCTTTGAGGCACATAATAGAAATACTTTTAGCTGGAGCCTTCTAATTGCACTGATGGGGAAATGGGCATAGAAAGGACAGATAAAAAACAAACTGTCTTTCCAAAGGGATTTGATAAATATGGCTTTTCTTAATGAATGCAGAGATGGATTAAAAAAAAAAAAGATGAAAGACCCCAAATGTTTGAATGATATTAAGTAGGGAATCAGAATGTTTATTTTCCCTTTAAAACACCATATCCATAACGAACTATGATGAGGCAACAGTGCTCCTGTGACCCTTTTTTCCTCGGTAATCTATCCTCCTAATTCCCGAGAATGAAAGATGACTCCGTGCCTGGGGAGAGGGAGCAGATGAGATGGATTTGTGCCGTCGCAGTGCTGCTTTATTTTTCATCCTCAGAGAGAGTTACGAGAGCGATGCTTTTAGCAGAAACACAGCGGAAAGGCCCCGTCTGAGGGCTGGCGGGAGCTCAGCGCTGCGCTTTGCCCAGTTTGGTGCTGCTCGGGCGGCCTGGGGGCGCTGTTCTCTGGGGCCTCACACCCCCCTGCTCCTGCCTCCATGGTGCACGGTTGGCAGGCGTGGTTGCAGGCGTGGCAGGCAGCAGACAGGCACCCCTCGCTCAGGCATCTCTGCTTCCGAAGGGATGCTCTTTAAGGGATCCTCAGAGGTCCCGTTCCTATGGATGGTTCCTTTGCACGTCCACTGTGCCTGCTCAATGCCAGGCCCTTAAAAAGATGTTACTTTTACAGTAACATCGTATCATGACCACCTTAAAGGAAACTGAGAAGAAACCGATCATCCCTTAGCCTGTGTCTCCGACACGACATACCCGCACCTCCATCCTCTGGGCTTCATGTGTATTTATAAAATATGTGCGTGATTCCTTTTGTCACATGTCCATTTTCCTGTCACCTGCCTTGGTACCATCTCTTATCTTTTGTGCTCCTGTCAGTGGCTATGACATGGTGGAAGGAAAAGGGATTGTGAAGCCAAGCAGACCTTACTTAGTATGCATTCTGCTCTACTACATCATGGGGTGGTGACCGTCATTTGCTTGTTGGTCTGTCCATCTGTCCTTTTTTTTCCCTTAAAATGTAGAAATCAAAGCATATTAAGTGGTGTTACGAGGGTTCACATGTATAGTACATGTGAAAGGACCCATCAAAGTGACACATATTAGGATGCTCAGTAAATGGTATCTGAGGTCAGTTGGCAAGTTCTGCCACTTTCTACAATTTCTCTGGCATCGATTACTTCCATTGCTTAGCAGACTGAATGAATGATGGGCAATTACTTTCACTCCCAGACTGTTCACGAGGCCTCTCACTGGGTCTTAGAGCCCACATTTATTCCAGTAAATTCTTCCTGTCACCACCATTTGCCCTTCTAGAGTTTTGCTTTTGCGTTAACTCTGGTTCAAACCTTTCTGTAGCTGCCAGTGCTTATCAAAAATATGTGGAATTTCTTACTGGCCACTCAAGACCTCTAAATACTCCCTTGCTCCTGGGCTCAGTGTTCAGTCTTCTCTTGGCATCTCAGCTCTCAGCAAACCTGCCATCGTCTCCACCCGCTGAGATGACCGGCCCCCCTGCTGTTGGCCTTGTCTGCTGACACACGTGCAGGGAGGTGCAGTGTCCTTGGTGGGAGAAGAGCACACGAGCCGAGAATCCAGGGCGTTGTAGCCTGTCCTCTGCAGTGAAGACTTAGGACTCACCCAGTTTCTCTGGGGGTCCATTGCTTTTTAGCATGTTGCTATTATTCAACCAAGAACAATATACTAGTACGTTATGCCCTATGGAGCTAGACTTCAAGCTTTCAAGGAAAGACTGACTAGGTCATTTATTCATTTTATATCCTCCAATGTTATTCTATCTATAAAAATCTCTTAGGGGATTACGTATCCTTCTCTGTAACTAACAATTCTTTTGTTGATTCATCTTCAGGATTACGTATCAAAACCATTTTGAGCTTAGAAAATATTTGCCGTGTAGTGGATTTTGGTGGATTTGCGGGGACTCTCTCAGTTGGTGACAGCATCAGTGGCAAGCAGGCAGAAACAAGGTGTGAGGGTGGTCCCTAACCTTTCTTCATATCAAAGGGCCGTTTTGTGTAGACTGGGTTTGTGTCTTCATGAGTTCCTCAAATTCAGAATTTTGCTAGAGAAGTTCTGCGACCCATATTTATGGCTACCCATATATCGTTTATAGTTTTTATATATACTTTATATATACATCACCCACAGGGTGTGACGTTTATATGAGTGTGTGTGTGCTGGTATAGGACAGTGCAAAGTTCTTTAAATTTGATTTCTGGTTTGTACCTTGGAAAACCGCCTGCCAATCTCCGGCCCTCCCTCCCTCAGTTTTAGAGAATAGAAATTTCACGTTAGGCTTCCTTGGGCCTGGTCAGTGCTGGCATCCTATGATTCTGTTATCTGTGAGTCTAATCAATACTGTACGTTTGCTGAGTCTCAAATGAAATACCTTCCGATTGCTGTTTATGAGATTTCTGTAGTGAAATTGAATTGACTCCTAATGGGGTGTAGCCTCGTTTGGAAAATAAAACTTGTGTGTTAAATCTGGACTATTCTAATTTTAATTTTCTTTTCTCCCCACCAGTTTGCTGTTTTGTGGTTCACAAGAGGTGCCATGAATTTGTTACATTTTCCTGTCCGGGTGCGGATAAGGGACCCGACACTGATGTAAGTAGTCCGGAAACTATTATTTGATGTTAACGTGGATTTCTGAGTTTAATTTCTTTCATGCCTGTGCTGATGTTCTTTGGGTTCATACTCTCGATGGAAAGACTCGTGGCCTCTACTAATGTACAGAAGTCCAGTCGCTTTGAGCCCTGGCAGGACCACACAGGGGTCAGAGGAGAGTTTCTTGTTGGCTGATACTGTTCCATCTCTCAGCCCGGGCAGCCTCACGGGCCACATCCACCAAGAATTGGGGAGTAGCTTTCACCAACACGATGCGGTTCCTTCCTGAAAACGCTGACGAATTTTACAATGATCGTAAATCCCCCTTCAGTGTATTTCTAATGGTTTATTAACTCATAGGTCCATCATTGCTTTCGGCCAGTGCAACAAACTATTTCTAGTTTGCTTTACGAGCTCCTCGCTGCCTTTTCATTACGGGTTATAAATGCTACTGTCGATTTCAATATTTTAGCATTTCGCGCCGGAGCAAATGCTCTCTGAAGCGGCCCGTGTGTGAACACGTAATTTTGTGTGTCCGCGTCCTAATTCTGCCTGTCCCTGCGGAGCGTCTCTCCGTCGCAGCTCTTGCGTGCCGGAAAACGGCATCGGCAAAGGAGCGTGAGGGTTAGGAGGCAGGGGAAGTACTGACATCTCAAATATATTGAGCAGAAAGAAACTTGGGCCATTACATGGAAAGTAATATTTTAACTGGAAAAACAAATAAATAAAGCGGGGGTTGGGGGAGGCCTGACAATGAGGCATTTCTATTCTGAACTGCTTTCGCCGGATCGCGCGAGTCACTGACCCTTGGATCAGGTGCTTCGAGCGATTCCTGCCTGCGAAGGCTGTGCCCGTCAGGAGACTTTGATCTCACAGTGGCTTTCGCAGCGCAGGCAGTGGAGACGGTGTGTTCGTGGGGAGCTCTGAGCGGTGAAGCTTGGCGTTTTAACACACGTAATGAAGGAACTTAGCCTTGACCCTCGGTGTGTGGGAACATGCCGCATTTCGGTTTAGATGCTGGCACTAGCAGCATAGAGAGGGTGCCCCGGCTCTGAGCCACCACCGTCCCACAGAGACTCAGAGGACGTGGGAGCCAGAGGGAACATCGGAGATAATCTCGTTTCAGATCCTCGTGGACCAGGAAGCCCCAGTCCACGGATGCTGAGTGACATGCCTCCCTCCAAAACACCCGCCCTTTCCGTACTCCCCTTCTTTCTGAAATGCTGTCTCCATTTTGGGCATTTTAGAGATAAAAAATAGGTGCAAAGGAAGAGCACCGACTTTTCTGAAAGTCGGCCTGAAGCATCACGTGGTGGTCCTTTCGCTTCCTTGCTCGTGAGTCTCAGCATCATCTTTCATTTTAACTGTCCTCATTTCTCTGTCCCCTCTCGTTTCGGCCCCCTCGCGAAGGAGGGGACAGTGCATGGGCTACAGGAGTGGAATCGGTTTTTGCCTGAGCCCTTCCTCCGTCCACCTCTTCATTCTTTTGGTTAAATACTCTTTACTGGGTACTTAATGTGGGGGAAGGTGGACATTAAACTACCACTAATTAAAATAGGATGTAGGTGCTCCGAGCACATTTACCTGAGGGCCCTACTGTCCGTGGGCAGAAGGCTTCCTCAAGGCAATGGCATTTAATGCAAGCCGGGTGTCAAGTGTCGGGTTAAGCATTTTGAAAGTAGTCTTAGGAACAGTGGGGACCCAGGGAAAGGTTCTAAGCTAGGAATGATGTCATCCTATTTGCACCTTATGAGGGTTGCTGTGGTTGCCTTATAGGAAATGAATCTGGTAGGAGGTGGGCTTGATGAATGGCTGAAGATGGGGAAACAGCAAAGGATGGAGAACCAGCGGCACCTACTCTCTAAGTCAGGACGATGGGAGCTGGGAGTGGGTGGAGGCAATGGGGACAGGCAGAGGGAGCTCATTCAGGATATGCCGAGGAGTCGAATCCGCATTGGCCATTGTGGGATGAGGGAGATGGTTTCTGGACCACAGACACGAATGGGTGGGGGTGGCTTAAGGCCATGGAGACTCTAGAGCAGCAGTTCCTACCTTTTTTGGCATCATGGACCCCTAACTTTTTTGGCATCATGGACCTGGTGATCTGAGGTGGAGCTGAGGCGGTGATGCTAGCGCTGGGGACCAGCTGCAGACAAAGACGAAGCTTCCCTCACTCTCCAGCCACTCACCTTCTGCTGAGTGGCCCCGGTTCTTAACAGGCCACAGTCTGGTGGTACCGGTCTGCAGGCCAGGTGTTGGGAACCCCTGCTTTAGAGGGAGAACACATTTGGGAGCATGGGACGTGGCAGATCAAGAGTTTGGACATATTCCATTTGGGAAGCCTGACACTGGGTGTGGATGTGGGAGTAGAGGTTAGAAGTCAGGTGTGTCCTGAAGACAAAGATGCTTTTTATTGTTGTTGTTTTGTTGTTGTTGTTGTTGTTAGGAGTAGATCATCTTTCCTAGACAGGATGTATAGAGTGAGAAGAGATTAGGGCCCAGGAGGGAGCTCTGAGGAGCTGCAGCAGATTGGATGAGAGAGGAAGGGCAGGGAGGCAGGAGGAAAACCAGGAAGGTTTTCAATAATCTCAATAATCTCCTGAAGGGGCTGGAGGCCAGTTCTCTGATCATGCCTATGATTTTGTTATGAATTAGCTGTAAGCTTTTGATTTTACGCTTAGATGGGTAACACACATCCCAGTTTGCACCGGACCGTCTTGTTGACATGAGAGCGTCTTGGTTTAGGCCTGCTATCGATTAACGCATGCCTGTTAATTATTTTCAGCAACCCTTTTCATACTCAGAAATTTTGCGCTATTTGGATGATTGTTATGTGGTCTCCTTACTCACAGAGCCTGAAGCCAGGCAGGAAGCCGTAGCGAAGTTCTGCTTGGTGTGACGTTTAACAGGAGGCCTGCCTGTGATCTGACGCTCAGCTGAGTTCTGTTCCTACGCATTGTGCGTTGACTTGCTGTAGGTGCTGAGCCTGACACTTTAACATCCTTGAAAGTAAAGATGAGAAGAGATGAAAACTTTTTTAACATGAGAGGAAAAGAAGTACACGAGAGATTTAAAAGCTGCAAAGAATCAGCGAGTTCTGACTGATTCACAAAGGATCGTACGTTCTCTTCCAAGGAGAAAATACTGGTCCTTGGCGTTAAGCAAAGCCTGTGATTGGTCTTTCTGCAGCCATGGCACGGGAGGGGTCTTTTGTCTGTGTGCAGGGTGATCGTATTTATTACACAAATCTGCAAGATGAACTGTACCAGGGGAGGTAGTTGGAAAAGCACGAAGGTTTCAGGACACAGAGCTAAGCTGAGATGGTAGGAATTTATTTGTCCCACCTTTTTTTTTTGTCAATAAGTTTAAAACCACAGAATTACAGAGCTGGAAAGGGTGTTAAGGTGACGAGAGGGAGGTCCCGGGCCTGGTTGCATGGTCAGTGGAGCACCCTGAGATCTACCCCTTGGTGTAACCATCGACGTTTTCTGTCTCAATGTTCAGAAAAGTGCTAACGGGCACGAGAAAGACCACTTAGAAGAGCAGAAGGATCAGTACAAATGAAATATAACTTAAGAGACAAACACTATTCCAAGTATTTTTGCCCCTGAAAATTTAAAATTTATAAATTGAGATTTTTTTTTTTCACACCACGATGGATGCTTAAGATGCACCGTTCAGATGAGTCTTAATAACACCCTCACCGAGCTCAGCGAGACCCAAGCATCCACAGATGGAGAAAGGACAAACCTTGCGAAATCCACAAAAGCTATACGTGCCCTGCCATCTCCCAGATGAAAGGAAAGGAAATGTACTAGAAAAGAAAATAGGCCCCAGATTGCAGTCACCAGATGGGGACAGAGCTAAAATTCTTTAGAACAGAGTGAATCCAGGACTCAAGGAGCAGTCCCCCGTTGAAAGGATGCGAAAGGAGCTTCTGCATTCGACAGAACGGCCCCCCGAAAAATCAGGCCAGTTTCTCAGCCCACCCGCACCCCGTCCAGACGCACGGGGCCCTGTCACCAGATCTGCCCGACCGGCACGCCTAGAGAGAAAAGCCCAGATTTCTGAGACTCAAAGTGTAGCCCTACACACACCAGTAGAGAAGGGACATGAAAGACTTTTAAGAACCTAACTATAAAGATAACTCAGTCACTGAGTGAATCTCTGGAAAGAAAGGATGGTGCCTGTTCCCGTCCTGGTCACAGAACAAGCCCACTTGGCGTTGGAAAGGCACTTGGACTTGGTGCAGAATTTGTGTGTCCAGGTGTACGTCCCCAGCACCCCTGCCCCACATCCGAGATTTTATAAGACAACAAAGAAATAAGACAAAACTGGTCCATGTCCGGAAATTGTTCTTCTCCGCCAAGTTAAGACATCAACCAGGACATGCGTGACGGGTGCAGGAGGGAATATCACCTCGCTTGGCTTTGGGGAGATGGGTGGGGGAATGTGCCTTTGCTCTTCGAATGTGCTGTTATTTGTTCAGCTCCATTGCTCACCCACCCTGATGGTTTTCTCTGCCCTGTCCTTAATGGGGTGAGGAGGCAGACTGGGGGACGGCTGGGGAGGAAGTTCTAGGGGCCAGCTCTTTCTCAGACTTCTTCCCTTCACTCTTTAAATTTCAGCTCACCAGCCTCTTGCTCCTTCAGTCTGGAACCCCCACCCCTGTTCTTAGAATAATCTCTATGCATCTTAAATTATGTCCACGAAGCCCAGCCTGCAAGAGGAAAGACAGGATACTTGGGCTCCTCCCGTATGTACGCGTGAGTGTGTGTGCGCGTACGTACGTGTGTGTGTACCCAGAAGATGAGCACGTCAGATCCTACCGTGCTTTTTCTCCATGTGCCTTAAGTGTGAAAAGCTGCAAAGCAGCCCTTTCAGAGAATCATATCAATCTGAGTCCCGCTTTAGAGCCGTAATATACACACATACACCCCCTTTCAGTCTGTAAGGTTGTACGTAGGGAGAGAAGGCGTTCTTCTGTGATATGCAGAAAA